CCTCTGGCTTTTCCTCTTTTGTAACCCGCCCTACCCTAACACCCTTTCGGGATTAGCAATTGCCGTGAATGACCCTACAAGCAAATCTTTCCAAACCTCTAAACATCAAAATACTACTAAACCTACTTACTCAAGTAAAGCTAAAGCCAAAAACAACTCTCTTAACTCTTCTCTAACACTACTTATTTCAACTAACAATATTGAAAATACTAAACTACTTATCTCTATCTCCATGAATCTTGATACTTTTGCTGCTGACTTTTCTAATATTATTTTTTAATCTGATTTTACTAACTTTAGTAATACTACTTCTAACCCAGACCAACTATCTTCAACCAAACCAACTTATCCCAAGCATGATACTTCTAAAGATCTCGACTAGTTCGCTACCTATTCTATTACTGATAATATGAAATATAACACCTTCCTTAACACACTAGAACACCAATTTCTTAAACCAAATCTTATTGAATTTGCACTTGGTAAAATTGTTAAACCTACCTCTAATAATTCTAATAGTCAAGCAAAAAACAAAGAATCCAGACATACTTTTAACTATCTAATAGCCTCACTTGATGGCAAACATCCTCAATTTCTTCATGATCTAATTTTAAATGCAAACACTTTACTTAACAAAAATGCTATTATTCCTTTTAGTATTATTCTTGATACTTTTAAATTCCTCTTCTTTAAATTTACTACTGTACTCTTTACCCAACTTAATTACAAAAAAATCTTTTTATCACTCAGCTCTATTACTCTATACAGTATCTATAACCATAACCAAGTTGCTCTTAATCTTGCTCGTATTCATCTTTTTCTCCAAAATAAATATCATACAATCCATGCACAAAAATTTTTTGAAGATCTTAATATCAAACCAATCTGCTTTAAAATTCATTACTTATTTAGCAAAGATACAACTAACAAATCCTTATTTCAAATCCACCATAACACTTAATTTAATATTAATGTTGCTCTTAATATTTCCAAACAACAATTTACTAATGATTATAAAATTTCATCCCTCAAGCCTTTTACTAAAGATCTTGATAATTAGTTTTCTTCTTTTATCCCAATTTACTCTCAACAATTCATTCAACAATCTAAGAAAACTGAAAAAAGAATTTATAACCATATTCAATGTGAAGTTGCCACAACACTTGTTACAAAATGCAAAAAACTCCCTTCTATTTATAAAATCCCTACTTTTACCACACTTCGTGAATGCAGAAATGCTGTAACTAAAGCAACTCTATATTATTTTCATATATACAAAGCTAACAAAAAAAAATCTATATACTATCCTTACCACCAATACTGAACACTCTGAATTTTTCAACCAGCACACTTATCAAAATATTTACCAATATTTTTACAAATATTCACTTTTTTTTCTCTACCTCTGCTACACTTTCTACTTTATCTAACCAATTCTTTCCTATAACTCATCCTACACTTAACTTTACAATTTTTAACAAAGATGAAATATACCCAGCTATATTCTCTAAACTCTTCCTTACTCAATCCTTCTCAGACCTAGCTAACAAAACAAAAAATTTATATACTAAACAAAACAATGCTAAACTTAATATCAATCACAACATCTTTTACTTCTACTCCTATTTTAATAAATACCTTAAAGCTGCTGCTAAAAATGATAATATTTATAATCTCTTCTATGACAAATCAATCAGTAAACTTATCAAACTAACTACAGACCCTATATATATTGGCAGAGTTATTTCTTATTTTGAAATACTTAAAGTCTTTAAACAAATCTTTTTTCAAATTTGCACTAAATATAATAAAACTCATTTGCCACAAGCAGAACAACTTATTATTAATTACTACAAAATCACTACACCAATCTTATCTAATAATCTATTCTATGATCTACTATTCAAACCCAATAAACCCAATGAACCTGAATTCCAATATTCTTTTTTTAAAATCTTCTGCAAAAAACATAGAAGCAGCTACCACCTCTAAAATAATAATGTCCTCCACATTTTGTGGACTATTTTTAGAAAAGAATGATGTAAGTAGGCGAGCAGGAAAGCCTATTTACATAGAAGAATCAAGTAATAATGATTAGACTCAATGTACAGAGCAGACTCTAAATTCTTAAACAGCTATGAGAGCCAGGCATACAGTGAGAGATTTTGCAAAAGATCTTACTCTTTCCTCAAATACCTAGTTATTTCACCTTTTTGAGAAGACATGCTTTAACAAATTTCTTTACAAATACAATTTATCACTTCTTCTACTTCCACAAACTCTCAAATTATTTCTTCATCATTTGCTCAAACATTCTTTCTTTCAACCCTATAAAATATTAGTTAATATTATTATACTTGAAATATATATATATTTTGATATAAATGAACAAACTCTTCCTAGTCACTTAATTCTCTCTCCAAACCAATATTCAATCTATGTTTCTTCTTCTATTTTGTTATTTACAATTAGGGTTGTTAATGGAGTACTCCAGACAATAATAAAACATATAACCCACTCCGGAGCACTTCAGAGGTGGGTTATATGTTTCATTATAGACTGGAGTACTCCATTAACAACCCTATTTACAATAGATTATTAATTTATTTATTCAAATAGTTTATCAAAATTACAATATATCTTTCTATTCTGGTTCACAACTTTAACATTAATCTAAACTTTGCTAAAATCTCAATACACATAATAACCAAACTAATCTACTACAAAACAAATGAACAAATAACTTTCTTTTTCTTATACTTATACTCAATATTACTTCTTTCTTATTATTTACAATTCTATATCCTAATAGCATAGCAGACAATCTCTGTGATTGGTCAATTATTGTAGATCTACCCGTGATTTCCCGTGATAATTAACCAATCAAATTACATAATTTAAAACATTTATCATTTTAATATTACTAGAAATGAAAGAAAACTAAATAAAAAGAAAACTCTTCCCATAGATCACTCTTACCAAAACAAGAACAAAAGAAAAAACTTTCACGCAGAATTATTTCAAAATTTTATTAAGTAAACTGATACTCGGCTCTTAAGTAAAGTTATCCGGCACCTACAAAAGGACCTAAAAAAGGTGCCCTTTGTTTAAAAAGTTCTCTCTCTGACAAATAAATAATAATAAACACTCCAAAAGACAAAAAACCAGTTTTCTCATCCTCCCGCAAAAGCAGTCCTAAGGACCACCAATACCTAAACACATCACTGCAAAGTACTAACAGCCCACTACACCAAAACAACAAAAAACTTCAAACAACTCTCATTACTGAGCCTCAACTTGCCCCTAAAAATATGACCTCAGAAAGCTTCTCCGGCATCTTCATTTATTTTTTTACATCTCGCAAAGCTGTACAACAAGAGGCCACTGCCACTATCTCCCAGCTACAGACTTCAGAAGTAGAACACACAAAAAATTTCATCGAGATTACTATCACAGATTGGTCCAAACTTACCTTTGTTGTCAGCTTCTCTATTCCAGAGTACGTCAATGACTTCATTTTCTAAATCAACATTACCAAATCTGGCAGGATCCCAAACCTGGTCAATTATTCATCCCAATGGATCTGTAAATACAATGATCTCTCCCAATCAGTTCTATTCGATCTCACTACCTCAAAAAACAATATCATCAACATTAGCACCAAACTTCCTAAATCTACTCGCAATTGTGACCTTAATACAATTACCAACGCCTACGAAAGCAATATGAAACCTTACACCAAGGCAAAAGGTACTGCAGACCTGCCCAGAATTCTGTACAACACTATAGAACAAATAGAATCTGACAATGAATCCAACAAAAGCAACATAGAAGATGTCACACAACACACAATCAGCAACACCTCTATACCTATTCCTATGGACCTACCAAGGCCTCCCACCAATATTATATCAGATACAAACAAAAACGCTAACAACACAGTCAAGTTAAACACAAACCTCTCCATTATAGCCACAACTGTCACACCTTCAACTAGTAACACAACCACTAGCAATGCCACTGCATCCAACCCGCCCAGGCCAAGTACGCCTACCAAACAAATTACCTCTATGTTAAACCTAACAACCACTCCTAATACTATAACCACCGAGGTTACAACCAGTACCAACACCAACCGCAAGAGGTCCAGAAATAACGTATCCCCACTTATTGTAGCTCCAAACAAAGTGGCTAAATCTACACCCGGAAGTACCTTCAGACCTCTCCCCGCTACCCAAACTACCACAAGCAAACGCTCATATAGCCAAGCCACCAAAACAAACCTCAATCTTTTATCAATAGACACTCCAGATGACATGGAATAGGCAACACTAGTACATCAAAGAACCAGGCATACCAACACACACTTTGCCCCAGAAGCCTGGACCTATAATCATATCGCTACCACTCTCAAGACCTCTAGTAGAATCCACAAATTTGTCAGCTACAAGCTATCCACAACCCATACACAACACAACTTACCAGAAGCAATCTTTCTCAAGTTTATCCACTGTGATACACGGTTCTTTACTACATTCACACGCAACTCCAAAACCATGCCCACACATCAGAAGGAATATACCAACCTCTTCAACAAAGCTCTCAAAGCATACAAAGAAGAACATGATATTACACTAACAAATTGTACTACCCAAAACACTATTAGTACTATGCTTAAACGAATGCTAATTGCACAGTACCTTTCCAATATGAATTTCTCTAGCATACTACAAAGAACTATCTACAGAGCAATCCACTATGCAAGAGGCTTTCTACAAATAAACGGCACGGATAAGGACACCTACCAAGAAGTCAGAGACCACATCAACAAAGCCTTCGATAATAGGCTCATCTTACTTCCCAACTCCCCAGACCAAATACCATCTGAAATATATAACATACTCCTCTTCAAACTCCCTATTACACAATGCTCACACACTAGAGCTGTAGTAAATACATTAAGAAGAGTCTTCAAGTTTACCAAGCTCCCACCATCATACGTCACCAAGCTTCCTACACTCCCCGCATACTACAGCGAACTCCCATCTAGCCTACACCAACTTTTTCCAATCACCCACAGGTTAGCACTTCAACACCTGGCAGCATACAAGAGGAAGCTAGCCGATTTCTATACAGTAACCCAAATTCCAGATGCATACTTTAGGCTGCCACCCCCAAAAAGCCTCTACTCACCATCTACCAGGAACTTAACTCTAGAGTCTGCAAACTTTTTCCATTTAATCAGGCAACATCAGAAATCCCACTTACTGAAGTAGTAGCAATACTTAGAGAGTATTTCACATTCAAACTTCTACCCAACGACTACTTTGTACCTAAGCCCCCCCTCCCTACAGACCCAAGCAAAATCAAAACCAATACTGAATTCATATATCCCATTATGAATGACGCAACAGCAAAAGAGTTCATCAAGCAAGTTACTCCAAAATATAGAATTAAGTTCCCTCTTCCACCTGAAATTATGCAAGCAAACCCTACAGAGAAACCTAATCTCCCTTCTGACCCACAAATCGTGGAGGACTACAATATTACTCTGCCGATTTCATCACCTAAACAACTCACAAAAATTGTCAGGCTTCTATGCAAATACTACTACTTCACACAACTCCCCTCTAGCTGGATTCAAATAAACGACACCAACATCCCTAACCCAGAAAATACCAGTACCAATATGACTTTACTGACTATCCCCAACGACATTGATGAGATAATCCAAACTCTATCCAAGCAGGAAGTCATAGTCTCACTTCTAATCCAAAAAAGCAGGATGTTACCCCAACAATGAAAATCCTCAGACAACACTTTAAGATCTGAACAATTCCAGATACCCTCCTACAACTCCCACCACTACCTACTCCTAAATAGAACATTTTTGACAATATCTATGCACAAATCCTACCTCTGTCTCCTAGTACTGTCCAAAGCTTTGCACTTGCTCCAGAAACAGACTCAACTGACAACAACTCGCAACTCAAAACAGAAAGCCACCCCATAGCAATAAGCACCCAACCCATAGTAGCCTCTACATCTACACCCGATCTAGTACATACACCTCCAGAGGACAACCCAACTCCAATGGACACAAACAAACACTCCAATGAGTAATTTATCACATCTATACCCTCTTACACTCTCAATTGGCACACACAATGTACAAGGTTTCAACACAAACACAAAAAGGGAAACATGGGAACATTACTGCCTACAACACAACCTCAACATAATTAGCTTAACAGAAACTAAACTCTCCCAAGAAACAGTCCACAGAAAGCGGTACAAGACACAACACTAAACTTATCTATGGTCATGTACAGAAAGCTCTCGTGCCAGAACAGCTATGATGATCTGCAACCATCTAGCACCTTATATTCACAAAGTATTAACAGTGCCAGGCTATGCCATAGCAATTGACCTCCTGTTTAAAAATGATTTCAAGTTCCGTATAATATCTCTTTATCTGCCAAGTAGTGATGCACAACTCAGACTACAGACACAAAATACTATTATCCAATGGCTCCAGCAGGCGACCACACAAAGCACTTTACCAATCACACTTGGAGACTTCAATGCCTCTACAGAGAACATACATTCACAGTCTACCAAACTTAAACTTCTTCAGTATCTGGCATATAACAACATGTACAACCTGGCAGCACATTCCCAAAAATCTGCCCCTACCTGGCACAGAGCTAATCTCTGTAGTGAAATTGACTTTATCTGGGCCTACCAACTGATCCTTCAACACCTCACAGACTTCGAAATCGAAGACCCTAATACTAGTACTCTAAGTGACCACAAAATTCTAATCTCTCGCTGGCTATTCCCTTTTGCTACTACAGGACAGTCCAGACACAAAACTCAAACACAAAGAAATTAAACAAAATTGGATATTGTTATCAAAATAGTAATAGTAAAAATTATATAAAGAGTAGTTAAAAAATATTCACTATGTTTGTTTAAATACTACATGAAAACAAATAGCAAAACAATCTAAACTTAAGTTGAATCTTGACAATTAAAAGAAATATCTAAACAAAACTAGAAAAAGAAAAAGACTATTTATTAGAAAAATATAAAAAATATTCAAAAACATATTTAAATATTTAAAAGTTAAAAAATTAGCCAAATAAATTTCAATTTTAAGACTAATCTAGAGTGTTAGAAATAAAATAAATAAATTATGTCTAAGGTGTCTCAAACCTGATGTTAAACAAAAACCCAGCCCATGTTACTGGTATTTTAGTACAAAATAAGCCAAAAAAAAGAATAAATCAATATTAATATGCTATATTAAAAAATTATCTAGCATATAAACAATATCTATCATATTTTTCTAGAAACTAACATAAGCAATTAGAAGCCCAAAGTTAATTTTTCTTTGTAAAAAAAAGAAACTTGTATAAAAAAAATTAGTAACAACAAGATAAATTGCTAAACATTATCCAGAAATATAAACTTGGACTACTATTAGCCCAAACACATAACTACTTCATGAGTGCCTATCTGGATATAGAAATAATTTTTAACAAGCCACAAAATTACTACTATTAGCTACAAATATATAATTCTATACAGTAATATATTAGATTATGCAAAAAATATTAGCAATAAATAGAAAAAAAATTTTTAAAGAAGCTATATACTGTATCTATAGAGGTCTATTTACAGAATAGGTATCAATATAGTCAAACCACTTCTAGTAATATTTAGACTAAATTGTTATATTGTAGTAGCCACTAATTATATAACAAAATAGCCAGAAGTGCATGCTATACAAAAGGATATAGCTAAAGAATAGTGAAATTTATCTATAAAGATATTATATACTATTATAAATACTCAACAAATCTTTTGTCGAATAGAGAATCTCATTTTAGAAATCAGCTAATCAATAATTTTTTTTTTGATATTAAGAAAGATCTTGTTCATATCTTTATTTAATAATTTATATAAATAATTATATAAAGCTATATAAAAACTTAATTTGTATAATAACAAATAAATATAAATTACATGCAAAAATAAAAGCTTAGACAAAATTATTTGTGATCTAAACCTACTAGAGTGGTTAAGACTTACCTAAATTTGAATAGATAGAATATAGTTAATAAATATGCTATATTTAATCCACATAGTAAACATAATACTAAACTTTAAAGAAGTCTGTTCTAGAAAAAAACAGATATTAGATTTAGAATATAAATGGTTAGCAAAGCTACAAGGGCAGCTGATAATAGATATAGTTCTGTTTCTTTTATGATTTTGAAGTAAAGAGAGATAAAGTAGTATATTAGATATAGAGCAAGTAGGAATCTGATAGGCTTTTTTCTAATATGAGAAGTTTGTACAATATGAGATCTATATATTGTTATAAGTAAGATCAGAAATTTTAAGAAGTAATTCTATAATTAGTTGTGAGGCTTGTAAGTAAAAAATATTGAAAGAGTTTAGAGATTGAATTAGGGGTTTGGGAATAAGGCCTTTAAGTGTAGAGAGGAGTAAATAAGAGTATAATATAGATGGTAAGAGACTGAAGAAAAGATAAGAAAAAATCGTATATATTAAGTTGTTAAGTTAATATGTAGTAAAATTGAGGCTAGCATTAGAGATAATTTCATAAATAGAAGTATTGATATTTTGAATTAGAAGAATATTATTAGAACATGTATACCAGTAAAAAGGAGTATCTAAGTTATTATATGAAAAACAGTTAGGAGATATAAATATAGAGGAATATATAAAATGAAAATAAAAATTAGTTGGTAAAATATTTAGAAGTAATTTAATTTTGAAAAATTTTAAGTAATTTAATTTGAAATCAGTAAAATTATGTAAAATTTTTTAGTTATTGTTGAAGTATAGCCAGAAGGCTTGCTAGTCAATTAAGTGAGAAAAGTGTAATTATTCTTGAGTACACTATTGTAAGGACTATAATGTGATAATATATACTTTGCGAATTGTTTTAATAAAGTATCTAGTAGAGCTTTCAATATAGATATTATTCCAAAGTAGAGTAGAGTATGAATTGTAAAAATTTGTATAATTAAATTGTAGAATAGGTAAGATAGAATGGTTATTTGCAAGCAGGTCAGCAAGGTTGTTGAAAAAATTATTTGAGTAGACTTGAACTTTATAAAAAGTAAGTTGAATATTAAAGAATTTTAATATATTAAGAAGTATGTACCAGATAGACCAAGCATTAAATTTAAAGAGTTTAGAGAAGTAAGATAAAGAGATTGAAGTTTGTTAATTTAAAAATAATAAATTGTAAGTCAGTAAAGATTTTGATAAGAATTGTGAAAAAGTGTGGATATAGCAGATATAATTGCAATTAGTTTGGCTTTATAGCAGGAAGGCCAATTGGAGATTTGAGCAGAATAACATAACTATTTTGACTTGAACTTAGCCAATACTCATAGAGCAATAGTTAGTACAAATTTGTTTTATAGAGCTATCTTTATAAAAGATAAACTAATATTGAGAGAAATTAGAAAGTGCAATATAAGATAGTTTTTTGAAAGCTTCACTTTCATGAAAAATGTTTGAAATAATTAAGTCAATAATATTGATAGTTGGCAGAGTTGGTATATATGAAGGATATTTAATATTTGTAGAGCGAATAAGATTGATATAATTAGTATTGAGGTTAAGTTGCTTGCTTGCATTCTTTCTTTAAAAAAGTGAATAGAAAGAATAGTTGATATTTTTAGAGTGCAACAACTAGTTATACAATAGAAGTTAAGATTGCAACTCTGGCAAAAAGTACAAGAACTAGGGTAAGAGATAGTAGTATGGAGTAGAAGTGTTGATATTATATTGCTAATGTGTTATAGAAATTTTATTAGATTGAGAAAAGGCTTATGAACTTGACTAATAATAATATTATTGTTATAATAAATTAATACCCGTTTTGAAAAATGAGTTAGTTTGATATACAAATAGATTGATGCTAGTAGGATGAAGATGAGGAGTATTAGTACAATAAATATTATTATTAAGAATAGAACTTTCAAAATAAGTAAACCAGAGTGGTTTTTTCTCTTTGGGGATATGTAAGAGTCAAGAAGATAGATATAACTAGTCTAGAAGAGTGTTGTTGTTCACAAAGCAAAGATATTCAAGATAAAAAATATTTTTATGACAAAGTTGTTGTTTAAAAGTATTGTACTTGGGGCGATTAGATAAGATATTTTTAAGAAATATATTGCTATCATTTATAGTTTTAGGTTATAAGAAATTAGAGTATGAATACATAGAGATTTGAAAATAGTTTGGCTGTTATATAATTTTAAAGTTAGTAAAGTGTTTGTTTGGGCTATTAATAATCAGATAGGGATATGAAAGTATATTAGTAGAAGACTAGAGATTATTTTAAAGTTGCTAAAGTCAGATATGAGTAGTACCAAGTGTTAAGCAATTGTTGATTTGATTTGGAAAGTTGCTAATGTGGAATTGTAGTTGAATGTTTTTTTTTTTTTTTTTGGTTTAAGGTGACCCCTATGGCCAGGGGCTTTTTATTAGATAATTAACAACGTTTACAATTATGATGAGGGTACAACTAGCCACATGTACAACTTTTGGTT